ATTAAAATAGAGTCTGGGTACCTTTGCTCCATTTCAGTTATTTGTTCGGCCAGCTGTTGCATCACAGCGCTCACGCACGCGTCCGGGGGCACGTACACATTCACGAGAATGAAAGAGGAAAACTCCCGCGGAGAGTAGAAAGGTTTACAGTTTATGATGAGTGCCTCTAAATTAGGACAAAATTTATGTTATAACAAACATTATTTTCTAAAATGTTGTATTATCTAATTAAATCTGCGCTAATTTGCATAGATTTACGGAAAAACAAATCTGAACATTGGATAAAGCCTTGTTCAAAATTCTTGTTTGATTTCGTTGACATATTAGAGTTTTTGAATTTCACTGATTTTGGATTTCTCTTTTTATAACTCAATAAATAAGAAAATACTGGTAACAGACAGAAAAAAAAAAAAAAAACATTTTCTCCATGCTTTTATGAATGAAGTGTTTTATAAATGAGTGTGAATGAAATATAAACAGACCCCCTCAGTAAAAACCATAAGTTTTGTTGTGTAAGTGCTGCTGAAGTGGAGGAAAAAACTCTTTAAACATATGGACTGAGATTGGAATCTACAGATGCAAATAGACAATGTGTTATAAAATAAACACTTTAATGTGTATTTTGGATGTTTTCTTTCCATTAATCTGAAGACGACATGTTATAGAAGCAAAATACACCAAAATTGACCAGTGCATGAAAAATATTGTTTCTGATTTATTCATGAGTTCATTGTACTATGAGAAATGTCAGACCTTAAACTTCCTCTTCAATCCCAAATGAACACTTATTGAGACTAAACAACGGAAACAACTCAAGACAGATATCCAATTGTAATAGCATATGCTAAATGTTACACTGATGTCCCTGATCTTATTTTGAACACTGAACAACTGATTAATTTAAGTCAATTAGAGATTTTCTTTATTTTAATAAATGTAATCATAATTCAGTATGAAAATAAATGCTAGAAAAAAAGCCTGATGGTGATTCAGCATGCAAAGTATCTTTGTACTTTAAGAAATATAATCATCATAATTCAGTATAAAATACATGAAAGAAAGACATCCAGTGGTAATTCAGTATGCAAATAATACAGTTATGTCACTGATGCTTTTCTGAATACTGAACATTGTTTCAGTGTCAGTTAATAGAAGATTTGTACTCTTGAGAAATGTAAGTTTTAAAAGAGTTTATATAGAGCACAGGCAGAACGCACATACAGCATAAAGCTGAAATGATCTACAAAATGCAGTTTGAGTGAAATCCGGATGTTAATTGATTCAAACGGAAATATTTGCAGAAAATTGTGCTGAATAATGAAGCATTTGAGGAAAATGACTGAAGTGCTGCATTGCAAACACTGAGAAGTCATTAAATCTGCGCTAATTTGCATAGATTTACAGAAAAACAAATCTGAACATTGGATAAAGCCTTGTTCAAAATTCTTGTTTGATTTCGCTGACATATTAGAGTTTTTGAATTTCACTGATTTTGGATTTCTCTTTTTATAACTCAATAAATAAGAAAATACTGGTAACAGACAGAAAAAAAAAAAAAAAACATTTTCTCCATGCTTTTATGAATGAAGTGTTTTATAAATGAGTGTGAATGAAATATAAACAGACCCCCTCAGTAAAAACCATAAGTTTTGTTGTGTAAGTGCTGCTGAAGTGGAGGAAAAAACTCTTTAAACATATGGACTGAGATTGGAATCTACAGATGCAAATAGACAATGTGTTATAAAATAAACACTTTAATGTGTATTTTGGATGTTTTCTTTCCATTAATCTGAAGACGACATGTTATAGAAGCAAAATACACCAAAATTGACCAGTGCATGAAAAATATTGTTTCTGATTTATTCATGAGTTCATTGTACTATGAGAAATGTCAGACCTTAAACTTCCTCTTCAATCCCAAATGAACACTTATTGAGACTAAACAACGGAAACAACTCAAGACAGATATCCAATTGTAATAGCATATGCTAAATGTTACACTGATGTCCCTGATCTTATTTTGAACACTGAACAACTGATTAATTTAAGTCAATTAGAGATTTTCTTTATTTTAATAAATGTAATCATAATTCAGTATGAAAATAAATGCTAGAAAAAAAGCCTGATGGTGATTCAGCATGCAAAGTATCTTTGTACTTTAAGAAATATAATAATCAGAATTCAGTATGAAAATACATGCAAGAAAGACATGCAATGGTAATTCAGTATGCAGATATTACAGTGATGTCACTGATGCTTTACTAAATACTGAACATTGTATCAGTGTATAAATCAGTGTGAATTAAATATGAACAAACCCCTCAGTAAAAACCTTCAGAATATAGAGAGGAATAAGACTCTAAGTTTTGGTGTGTGTAAGTGCTGCTGAAGTGGTGAAACATATACTGTTATAGATATACTGTTACTGACATACTGAGATAGATACTGAGACAGTTACTTTCAGACCTCAAACTTTCTCTACAGTTGAAAATGAGCATTTATTTGAGACTAAACAGTAGTAATGATTCATTCTGGACAGTTTTCTGTTATCACACAGAAGAACATTAACTACTGAGTGATCAGAAACAAACTTGTCTCGTCTAGTTATGGTGAAGAGATCATGATGAAGTAGGACTATATAGTGGGATACTATTATTCCTGAACTAACGTGTGTGAAATCTTGTGTTTGTGTGTGTGGAGCAGATTTCTTTGAGGAGATTATTTGATCTTGAACAGACCTAAAATAAGCACCAGCTCAATCAGAAGTACTTCAGAAACCACAGACAGTTTGTTTTCTCTTTCAGATCTTTGATGTTCCTTCCTCACTCTGTCAGTTTTACACTCAGTAACACTATCAAGTGGTTTCTACAATGGAAGATATAACTCTTATCATCTGGCAGCACCTCTGCATAAGCGTCACTCACATTTTATTCAGAAACTGAAAAACAGTATTAGTAAAAATAGTAAAAACAGTAGTATTTACACTGGTGTCAAAAGCAAATGTGTTTAAAACATCTATGCCTATAACCTTGTTTTTGGAAAAAAAATTATTTTCTCGCTCAGTATTTTAGTAAGTAGTCTAAAGATTCATACATCACGATACATTTACTTGAGATGCAAAAGAAGTAAGTTTATATTTAAATCAAGAACATACCTGCCAGTGGGCTCAGAAATATAAATCTAATTCAAATGTAAAATAGTTTTATGATGATAAACAGACTCACGCTCGGCGATGGGCACCAGCGGGATGAACTTGCTAAAGACACTCTTGGCGATGGACGGACTGGAGACGAAGCAGGAGTAGTTCCCGCTGTCTGACGCTCGTACGGTGGAGATGTAGAGGTTCCCGGTGGTCTGAGACACGAAGCGCCGCTTGTCCAGAAGAATGAATTCCGGAAACTCATTGAGCATCCATCGGAAGGACAGATCCTCTGCAGAGAGCACAGACAGGAAATGATGCAAATGTGTCAGTCAAATGCAGAAATGACTGTCAATCCTTAGAGTCAGGTGCCATGGTAACCTGGGAAGTGTGGAGGTGGAGCACACAGAAGCACCGCCCCTTGCCCCTCCTTCACATAGACCGCCTCCCGCTCGTCTGAGGAAAACATGTCCAAGTCTAAAACACAAGATGGAGATTTTATTTCAGTTTTAGTTTTGCGTAGTAACCCTTATTCATGGCAACCTCAGGAGTAATATAACGTAAAATAATTATGATAACAATAATACTGAATTAATTGTGTATAATAATTTAACAATATTTTCTTTAATAAATAAATACATATAAAAAAATAGCAATAATAAAAATAAGTTACATTTTTACAAGTTACATATTTGGTAAAAAATTTAATATTTCTCCTTGAGAAACTTTAAAAAAATGTCTATTAATGCAATTTCTGAATAAAAATGTTACCTAATATAATTGAAAACAGGACAACACCACATATAGAATTTAATTAACTCGCACATCAATTTCACACATAATAGCAGTAAAACTGCACAGAGGACACTTTAGAGTCATAATTCAGCAGAAACCGCACAAATGCTTCAGACGTCTGACAGCAGAAATTAATATCCGTCAAGCTCTGAACAATAACAGCTCTCTGTGTGTGTGTGTGTGTGTGTGTTCAAGGCCATTCAGGGCAGCTTTAATAGAGCTCTTCTATAAGAGCGACTCACATCCGAACTGAACAGAGGCCTTCTGACTGACGAGCGTCCCGAACTCATTGCTGGCCAGACACGAGTAGTTCCCAGCATGCTTGCTCTTGTCGGGGAAGCTGATGACGAGGTTTCCTCCCATCAGACTGTAGTGATCGTCATTTCCAATAACGATTTCTGTGTTGTCCAGCCTCCACCTGAGAACACACACACCATCAGGAATGCGAGATGCGAGACACAACATTTCGTTCCACTGTATGTCGACAAATGCAGCGGAATGACAATAAAGCTCGACTTGACTTTGTGTGTGTGTGTGTATGTGTGTGTGTGTGAGGACACAAATGTGTATAATGACATGGGTACTACAACGTAAACATGGTTTATGAGGACACTTCCTGTGTCCCGTAAAACAAAAGGCTTAAAAAACATACAAAACTGTGTTTTATGAAATTCTAAATTTGCCAGTAGTTTTCTGTAAGGGGTAGGTTTAAGTGTAGGGTTGGTGAAGGGCGATAGAAAATACAGTTTGTACAGTATAAAAACCATTACGCCTATGGAGAGTCCCCGCAAACCACAAATGCAAGTGTGTGTGTGTGTGTGACTGTGTGTGTGTGTGTGTGTGTGT